AACAGGCGCCCCCATTCACTCTCTTTTTGAAACAGTCCCTTGTTGTGAAATCGTTCATGGGCGGAGGCAGCTGAAGAGCTGCTACGACAAAAGGCCAACGCATTGGAGGTCGCCTCCGTTGCCGTCCTTCTCTGTGCAGCGTGCGCCGTGGCCGCGAGCGCGGCCGCGAGCGCGGCCGCGAGCGCGGCCGCGTGGCCATTGCAGGAGCAACTCGCTGCGAAGGAAAGGAAGTTGAAAGAGTTCGAACAGCAATTGCAGCCAGAGGCCTCTGTGCACAGCGGGTACGCCGCGACGTGACAGATGTTTCTTCGTGTGAGCACTAAAACAGCCCAAGTCACCGAGTAGCAACAGTGTGCCCCAACTTGCAGCATGTCCATCACACGCAACAGTCTAGACACTAGGAGACTAGAGTTTCAATGCAAGTGAATGCAGCTTAAGATGCATATCAGAAGAGGGACAGCTAAAAACGTGAAGTAGACGTCAAGTCCCAATCGAGGGGCTTTTCCCCGAAGAATTGCCATCACATCATAGCCTGCTGGCCTCAAGGGCCTTACATTCAAAACATGTCAATCAAAACCGTTTCAATCTGATGCAATAGAACTCTGTTCAGTACCACTGCTTTTGCCATCCCAGAAACGCCCAAAGCATCCAAAAGCTCCCCTTTCCGGGCCCAGACGGGATTCTTCAGGAGATTCCAGGCAACATTCGGTCTGTGCCACCGGCTCTGCATGGCTCCCTCTTCCTTGGGCCAACCCTGCAGCTCGGCAGTCGACAAATTCTTGTTTCGCCTTGCGGGGGTAACTGGCATAGGCTGAGGAAGCCAAGAGACTGGATGTTTGGTTGTCTAGAACTGTTCGTCCAAGAAACTCATGAAAGCTGTCTATGTTTTGTTCTCGTGCTTTGGCTCCCCACTTTCTGAGGTCAGGGATGGACATTGCACAGCGGCGAGCCCTGGTGATAGGTCGGCCAGCGAGTCCTCTAACGCACATCGAAACACGTTGGGTGTACTCTGCTACAATGTGTCTCCATCAGCGCAATGTGAAAGAGTAGCGCGTTGTGACCCACTTCTTTCAGGCTGCAACTACTGCAACTCCTTTGCAGCTCTTAAAGGATGTGCAAATGATGCTTGGAACATGAACTGCTTGCTGCGACAGCCACTTCCCTAGCCACCTGACACGTCCACTGAAAGTCGCGTTCCAAGAAGACACAGTACAGAACTGTTACAGAACCTGTCGAAAAAGAGAACATACTTGGATTTTCTTAAAGGATAGAGGTATGAAACTGGTCTTCGGTTCCTGAGGGCAGTCCGGTGCTTGTCGCGTCCAAGGTCGCTGCAGTATCCTGAGAGCCAGGAGAGCGTCGTTGCGTCCGTGCTGCGTCCTGCAGAGACCAACGACGGCAGGTTCGGTCTTTGATTGACTTCTCGGGCTCAACTGCATCCCCTCCAAAACGGCTTCCAACCAGGTGCGGTCTTTTGTGCCGACTGACCTTGGAAAGCAGTGGCTCACTGTGCTGCATGGATCAGTGGCTCCTTGAACATTTTACATTCGTTCTATCTATATATAAGATAAGGATCTAAATGACTGGTTCTTGCAGGGAGAACATCATCGCTGAACTACAGTGGCTCACAGGAAATGCAAAACCAGGGGTTCCCACCTCAGTTTGCCGGACAGATCATCTCCAGAATATCCACTTTCTCTACGGTGTTGATCTATGATGACCTAAGCAAAGCCTTGATTTGAGGACAACATACTCTTGTACTTCAGCAGATACGGAGCTCAACAGCCAGTTTCAGAGATTGACGGCCTCTACGAGGAAAGGAACGTGTTCCATCAGTCATATATACTCGTATATTATAAACCCTAGTTGTGACGTCCTTTCGAGAAGGTAAGAACCCATCCAACTGCCCAGTGAAGGTCTGTTTGTGACACCCCTGGCGTGTTTTGATGTGTTTTGCATTGTGAAGCATGCCCTTTCCGAATGCCGTATGCCGCCAGCCGTCGCATGCCGTCCGTTTTTGGGCGCCTCTCTCGCATGCCGCGGTATGCCGCCGCGCAGGGGCACCTGGTTCCCATGGACTTTGCTGAAGATCTTCCGGAGGAGAGAAGTGACCATTGATGCTCATTCACATGACAGTTTCAACGAACCCTGCTTTGGTCACCGATTGTCCCCTCTGCGTGCCCGCTGCGTGATGGTCCCCTTTCCTTCGGTGGATCCGATTTGGCATCCGTCCCCGGTTTCGTCGTGACGGATCGGCGGAGAAACCTCCGTCCAGCGCATCGGACGGGCCTTGTTTGGTGAGGACGTCCTGCATGAACTCCAAGATGCAGTTTCTTTGGCCTGGGACCCAGTGAGAAGTTGGTGAGTGAGAAGTGAACGCCATCGTTGGCCATCCTTTCTTCGCTTTGAAAACACCTCCGATTCCTCAGATCCGGTTTTGAGCGGCGTTCCGATGTCTCAACTTTTTGGGAGTCACACAGAATCCCCAGGACTCGCCGGGGCTGTCCTCCGAGTCACTGCGGCGGGCAGTTCACTCTGGTGGCTACCGCAGGACACTCGGAGCATCGCTCGCCATGAAACCTCGAGTGCTGCGCCACAGTCGTTCGGAGTGAACAGCACGGTGGCTCGGACGTTCGGAGTGAGGTCTTGTGCCCATGTCTCTCATCACCTCAGCTCTCCATTCCCTGCCTCCCAAGTGCAAGGTGGGCGCGTTTCAGAAGGGTCCAATTCGCGAAAGATCTTCGGCCAGAAAAATGGCTGTAGAAGTGTGGTGAAATCGTTTTTGTTTCGCTGCGAACACATGTGACGTCACCTCTTGAGGTGACGCTGCTACTGGACTGCTGCCAAAGTTCCGTTGTGCCACTCCTACGCCCTTCGGAAGCTCGAGCTTCGGGTGGTCCAGGGCACGGATCTCAGATCTTGGCGAGTTTGATTTGGAATTCTAGACACCAAGAATCTGCCACCTAAGCTTGGACCATGACAAAATCGTCACTGCTGTATGATGCTCGCTGTATGTCCTCGCTGATACATGCTGCTACATGCGCTTTATTTTTTCTCCGAGGCCGCCACTGTTCAAGAGGCTTGCTCCGCGAATCCAGGCTGCTCCGGTTGAACTCACTGGGCGGTTGAACGGTTTTTGGACTGAACCGGCTGAACCGAGCGAGGCGATGCCAAAGAACCACAGCGCCAGCATGCGGCTGTGAAAAGCTTATTTCAAAGGCTTTCCTTTTGAAAGGCACTTGCCCAACAAAAGGCTTGAATTTTAGATGCATTGGGAAGTTTGGGATGTCCTTCTCAACTTCTAGGCTGAATCTTCCACCCTTACCTGGTGGACAAAGTTTGAGGCGCTAATCGCAGATGTATGCTGGTTGTATGCTTCTTGGAGCGGCTGTGGGTCAAGACCTCTTCCGCCAAAACATGGAAGGTTGACATGGGGTTTGTATTTTCTATAAAATATATACCGGTCCAGTTTATGTAGACGAGTTGGGATATGTTGGGATGTTCGACTTAGGCGAAGCATACCGCGAAGCATACCCTCAGAACATGCTACTGCTTTAGTCTTCGCACCGCACGACACATACCTCCGTAGCATACCTCCGAAGCATACCCATAGTCAAACATCCCGGTCCGGGAAGGGCCAAAAAGAAACACTTCCACCTCCCGAACAAAGAAACACTGCCACCTCCCCTCCCGAACAAAGAAACACTTCCACCTCCCGAACATAAAGGAACCTGTGATAGCGCGACTTGCGGTCTCTGTCTGAAAAGGAACCTGTTATAATCTGTTCATCTTCGTTGATCCACGGTGCCATGACCCACCGCTCCAGGCCTTCGACGTCACCCACCAGCTCGCCCAGCAAGTCTTCCACACACGTTGCTTCACCACAATCCATGAAATCTCCCACCTATCAAGAGGCAGGACAGGTAGAAGCAGTACAGATCTGATTCGTTTTCTGGTTGGTCGGACTGACAAAAAACATGTGTTGAAAGAGCAGAGCGGCAAGGCCCCGGCATTGCCGCAACCTTCGGCTCTGGATGTGAGCTGCTTAAGATGATGAAATCTTTTGATGCCGCTAGTAAAAAACATGATTCAGCCTATCCGTGCCCAGGCCACTCAACATCATGGGAGTGTTTCACGTGGTGGTCCATCTTGCAAATGCTACAGCTTTGCCATGTGTCAGAATGACCAGGCGAGGCGTTCGCATGTGAAGCTAGGAAGCTAGGCCGCTAGGAAATTGGCTTTGGTTGGGGCTGAACGGAGTCACAGTGTTTGGACTTTGTGAAGGTTTGCATCAAAAACACAGGTGATCAAGCTCACATGATCTTTGTTCTTAAAACCCTTTAAGTTGCCAAAGCTCCTGAACGCGGCTGAAACACATTCCAGGTTTGTTACGAGCTGCCGATTGAAGGGCCTCCCTGTCATGCGCTTTTCGTTTGGGAACGAGCCGCGTGGGAACAGCCGATGGCTGTGGGTCGCACCTGGCGAGCTCCAAACCCTAAAAGGTGGACCTGGAGGAAACGACCTTCTGTTCATTTTCGGTGCATTTTTGGTGCATCCCGGTGCGACCCACACACAGATAGGATCAGATATAGGTCTAGGTCGGCTGTTGGGGCTGTTTTGGTCGGCCGTCTGTTTCGTCTGTTTCGTCGACTCGTCTTCAAGTCGGCATGGCAGGTCCGTGCAAGGTGCAGGGACCTGGGCCTTTGTGAAGGCACGTTTCCAAGCATTGGATGCAGCCCTGGTCTCATGGCCGGTTTTCATGCTGAAGCTGCCCTGCCGAGTCGACAAGCCTCTCTTGTCGATTCGATTTGTCAGGCAGTTGCAGCTTGTCATTTCAGTGTATCTCTCGCGCAGCACAGCAAGGTGGACGAACAAGCAAGTGAAGCAAAAAACAGTTGCAAAAGAATTCGACTTAACACCCAGACCCCCTCGACTAGGTTCATTCTTTCTCTCCAAAGCTTTGGACGCTTTGAGCGTTGGAGGCCATGGACAGCATCTTGCAGAATCTGCGCAGAAAGTACAGGCGCACGACATGGTGCTCTGTGAGCCGACAAAGGACGACGAAACACAGGAAGAAAGAGGAACAATGATGAACCATGAAGAAACACAGGAAGAAAGAGGCCACCCCCAGGTGGCCCAGGTCGGCCAGGTCATTGCTTCGTTTCCAAACAAAAAACCACCAATTCAGCTGTTCACAGCGGTCGCCGTGAAGCGACCGACTCCATTCGCTCCACTGCACCCGACCTGTCGGACGAGCAGGTGGATCCAGCAGACTCCGGTGATTCAGCTTTCAGCCTCCGCTAACGTCGAGGAGAGGGAGAAGCTGTGTTTTCATTCGGGCCAGAGTATGTTGGGCCAGTAGTCTTTTCATTCCTCCAGCAACTCCTCCCTGAAATTCTGTTCAGTTCTTTTCATTCCGCAAAAATGCCCTTCTTTATGGTTGTTTCGGCCGAACAGACCATTTTGGACAGATATGGTTTTATCTTTTTTGTTGCTGCACGGTCTTTAATGCATGCACGGTTTGTTTTGATGTTTTATTTTTTTGGAGACGTTGCTTGCGGGCAGTTTGCTTTGGCGCTGCAAAGAGAGCCTGTGGAGGACACCCTGATTCTACCGTAGCTGTGAGAATCAGTGTCCTTCATTATTGGTGTGAAGAGAAACGATTGTTGATGCTCATGGTCTCATGGTGTTGACTTGTGCACACGAAACAGTTTGCTGGCAAGTCTTTCGAGAGCATCATCAATCGATGATCTAGAAGCACCCGACATCGTAGAATGCCCGCTCGAAATATCTGTGCAGCTGCGAGAGAATGACCTAAACATTTGACATGGCAACCTGTTGGACATATACTTTGTCCCTGAGGTCGCTGTTTCACTCCAAGACGCGACCTGCATGGTTTTGCATCAATCAGCACCGGCACCATATTATTGTATTTGCATTTCCATCATTTCTTTGGGCTTGCAAGAGTCTGGACTTTCTTCTTCTTCTTCACCCATGATAAACAGTCAATATGGTCGCACCATTCCACAAAGCTGACTTAAATGCCATCGCATGAGGAAAAAACACCTAGATATTCCCAGCCATCTTCAGCCATCTTCAGCCTGCAGCCTAATTATTCACCTCTTCTGGGCTGTGTGCCAGACTTCTATAAGACGATGTATGGGACAATATGAAGAGAGCCCTGTAAGGCTTCATGCCAGCCTGGGTGCGCAATGAAGAAGAGCGCAGCCAACTATTGACTGCCCTTCGCTCAACACCGCCACCCGAACCCGTTAGAGGCCGGAGCCGTGCTTTTTTAAAAGGGATTTCACTCGAGACTCGAGAATGAGTTTGTTCTGGTCTGAGGCAGCAAGAAAAAGAAAGAAGAAAAGCCGCAGCCAACCGTTGATCGAAAGCTTGCGTTGCTGAAGCTGCGAGATGTCGCATCTTCGAGTTTGCGGGAAGTCTTGTGGCAAGATTCAGAGGCCAGTGTTTTCCACCCTTTTTTAAAGCATACTCTGAACGTGGGACGTAGCCTAGTAGCGTCCTTGCTCCGTTCGTAGCGTCCGGAACTGCCAGGTTCGAGAGATTTTGCTCGCGGGCCTCGACGAAACGCAACCGGAGCTTGCAAGGGTGCTCTCCCTTGGGGTGCTGGTTCACCTGACAACATCCCGCAAGAACTGCTCCGAGCTCCTCAAGAACGAGCAGGCACGGGCACGCTGCCCTTAGCAATTGTGTTACACTCCTTTTCTGGGCTGCCAAAAGAATGGAATGACATGCGGTTCCAGGATCAAATGTGATGAGTTACTTATTTCAGTGATTGATTGCAAAGAAGCATATACAGAAGCAGATCCTACTTAAGGCACATCTGACATATGATGTCAGCGTGCTGCAGCACATGTTGACAGCAACTTCGCCATGGGGCAATCTCCATGTAGATTCACCACACGCCCTTTTTCTCCTTTATGCTGTTTGATGCACTTAAGCACCAGCACACATTGCAGGTTCGGCTGAGTCTCTCTCAACTTCAGTCAGAGGGCCAGCCCCAAGAAGTGCAGGAAAAAGCGCTCCTCGCTTTGGTGGCTTTGGCTATTCCAGCCTTCCAAGACTGTCAAGAAATCAGTGAGGACCTGAGAGATGTGCTTGGAAAAGCTGCTGCCAGAAATCGAGACAACGCGCAGCGATTGCTCGTGTTCCGTGCGCTTTGGAGTGTCTCGACGGTATGCGACAGCCCCGAGCTTTTCTTCGGAAACGACAAGATCTGGGAGTCGCTTCTACAAAGCCTCCAGCAGGAAGAAGACCTTGACGTCCGTGAGAGTGGCCTTGGTTTGCTGAGTGCTCTGGCAAATCAGCAGACAACTGCTCACTTCCTTTGGGGAGATGTTGATGACGAGGACGATCCCCAAGGTGAACGTGTTCGAGAAGACATTTTTGCAAACACACTTCGATCTCAGCCAGCACGCATTCGTGGAAGAGCTCTGGCTGTCCTAGCAGGCTCCTTTGCAAGAACATACTTTCCAAGCATCCAAACGCGATCAAACTTGTATGGCTGTGGGTCCAAACCCAGTTTGAGCCTGGTTGACCCCGGGTCAAGTGAACACTACTGGGATCTGGGGGAGTAACCAACCATGTTCAACCAGGCCCCACCGGTGAAACCCAGGACGAGCTCTCCGGGTGCCATTTTCCCCGCCAGGCATCGTGAGGGATCCACAGAAGCGGCCGTCTGTCTGGAATTACGTTTCAACAGCTTCCGTTTCAGAGGACCTGGGAGGGTTTTTCCATGATGTTCATCATGATGTGAATCATGTGTTGAATCATGGCGTGTCTTTGCTTTTGGCCTTGTGGCAAACATTCGTGGCAGTCTTGAGACCCAAAGCCAATTGCTTTGGATTCGCATGTTGCGCACTGGCCACGGAGATGGCCAGGACACGGAGATGTCGAAAGGCCATGAGGTGGATCTGGGTGCCAGACGTCCGCGGAGTACGTCCAGTGACGCATCAGGGCGGCGAGAGCGGAAAGGAAGTGATGCTTCTGCGACATCCAAGAAATCGGCTGAAGAGCAGGAAGCCAGGGTAGATTCGTTGTTTGGAATTAGGACACCCTGAAGAGGTAAACCGTGGTAAACCAATTGCTTTGAATCTGGCGTTGTCTACCTGGCTACCATTATCAATGATGCAGGAAGCAGCTGAAAGAGCTACGATGAAAGACAGCATTATGGCAGCAGCAGCAAGAACAGAGCTTCCTAGTGTGCGATCACCGGCGCTGCGGATTTTACTAGAGCTCTCCTGGGACGAGACCTTAAAGATGTCGCTGATTGAGAACAACATTCCAGAGCCTCATCAGATCGAGGGGGAGCCGAGGGCCGACAGTCGTGAGAGTCGTGAGACTGAATCAAAGCATATCAAAGCCTACTGTGGGGAATCAAACCCACAAATCTTCATATACGGCATCCATTGTTTTGTGGGACCTGGAGATACTCGCATTTTTACAATGGTATTGCATGGCATTGCATTGGTATTGAGGTATTATTACCATGAATTTAAATCGACTCGTTGTTCCCTCATTTTCCAAAGGGTATTGCTGTGAATGAGTATCCATCAATCCTTCACATTCGCTTCGAGGAACTTCTGCTTGATGCTTGGCCTGATCAGCGCTTGGGGTTGAAAGAGAGGAAGCTCTGCAAACATGGTCACAGACGTCTCGTTGACTGGAACAAGGCTGGGGAACATTTGACACTGTCAATTCAGCTGCGGCATGCAAAAGCAGTTGTGCCAGTAGACATAAACAGGAAAGCTTCCATAGATGGCATGAAGTTCAGTTGTATGGTCTTTGCGGGGAAAATAGTGTTCAAGAATATCCCGAGGAAAGACATTGGCCAAAAAGAATTCGAAAACATTCACCGTTGGTTGTTGAATAGAGGAGAGCCACATACAGGGAATATGGGATTTGCCATTGCTCCTGGCATGACACAAGGACGCGACGGGTTGGGGCGGGCGCCTAGCCCGGTGTTTTCTGTCTTGTTTTAGGCGAGAATTGCCGAAGAGCTTCGCATTGAGCGTGAAAATGAACGCCGAGAGCAAGACGCGATGCAATTTGAGGAGGACTTCCAGGTGGGTCTGAAGCTGTCGCCGAACTTGCTTGTGTAGGCATCTCACATGGTTGGAGGCCATCCGTGAAGGCCATTGCTAGTAGGTTGGAGGCCATCGCTAGTAGGTTGGAGGCCATCGCTAGTAGGTTGGAGGCCATCGCTATTAGGTTGGAGGCCATTGCTATTAGGTGGGAGGCCATCACTGTTAGGTTGGAGGCCATTGCTATTAGGTGGGAGGCCATCGCTATAGTAGGTGGGAGGCCATCGCTAGTAGGTTGGAGGCCATCGCTATTAGGTTGGAGGCCATTGCTATTAGGTGGGAGGCGTCGCTAGTAGGTTGGAGGCCATCGCTAGTAGGTTGGAGGCCATCGCTAGTAGGTTGGAGGCCATCGCTAGTAGGTTGGAGGCCATCGCTAGTAGGTTGGAGGCCATCGCTAGTAGGTTGGACGCCATCGCTAGTCGGTTGGAGGCCATCGCTAGTAGGTTGGAGGCCATCACTAGTAGGTTGGAGGCCATCGCTAGTTGGTTGGAGGCCATCGCTAGTCGGTTGGAGGCCATTGCGAGTAGGTTGGAGGCCATCGCTAGTAGGTTGGAGGCCATTGCTAGTAGGTTGGAGGCCATCGCTAGTAGGTTGGAGGCCATCGCTAGTAGGTTGGAGGTCGTTGCTAGTAGGTTGGAGGCCATCGTTAGTAGGTTGGAGGCCATTGCTAGTAGGTTGGAGGCCATCGCTAGTCGGTTGGAGGTCGTTGCTAGTAAGGTTGGAGGCCATTGCTAGTAGGTCGGAGGCCATTGCTAGTAGGTTGGAGGCCATCGCTAGTAGGAGGCCATCGCTAGTAGGTTGGAGGCCATTATTTATGATGCTAGTAGATTGGAGGCCATTGCTATTGGGTTTGAGGCCATCGCTAGTAGGTTGGAGGCCATTGCTATTAGGTTT